CCCGCGGTGGTCTGTGCCCGGGGCTGGCCACACGGAGCTGACGTGTCCCCCCTCGGCAGGAATATGCAGCCACCGTGCGCAGGGCCGTGCAGTCCGGCAGCGTGAACCTCAAGGACCGGCTCACCATCGAGCTGCACGGTGAGCGCGGGAGCGGCGGCCGCGCACCGGGCACCGGGCACCGGGCGGGAGGCCGCCCCGGCCCTGCCATCTCCTTGCTGGGCAGTCCCTGTGTCCCGGGAGGCCGCGCGGCCCCAGGGGCAGGAACGTGCCGGAACCGGAGCGGCTGCGGCTCTGGCCGGGCSGGTTTCGGCACCTGCTTGTGCTGCAGGGGGGCTGGTGTCCCCACGCGCTCCYCGAGGCCGCCTGGCTGGGTGCTGCCTCCCGGCCACGCCGGGCACCCTTCTCGTCCCCCGTGAGGCCACCGGGCTGCAGCAGCCCCTCTGTGCCCGGCCTGGCTGGTGTCTGCAGCCTCAGAAACGGGTGTTCGTGTCTTGATCCCGCTCCCCATCGAGAAGACCCGTGATTCTGAGGTGAAAATGTCAGTTCAGGTGAAACATCGGCCATAAAGAGCTCGGAGGTTATTCAGAACCCAGCTGGGCAGCGTTCTGGGCTCTGCRCAGCGTGCTTGAGCAGGGGGCTTGGGCCACCCATCTCCAGAGCTGCTGCCCAACCCCAGCTATTCCATGATGCAGTGAGTGAGGGACTCCAGGAGCAGGTTCCCCTCGCTCATTCCCTGGCATCAGGCGGCTCCTGTTCCACCTGTAGGTGCAAAACCCACCACTCTGCCCTCCTGTTCTGACTGAAACCACGTTCCTGGAGGCATCTTAAAMCTCCTTTGATAGCCCACAAGTGAAACTGCACAGACCTCACTTTTCCCTATTTCCTGGCTATAGATTATTCTCCTGTTACCCTTTTTTCCCGGGAATATAAGGCTGTTTTGCTGACTTTTCCTTTGGCTTCCCGCAGCGGATGGGCGCCACGGGATCGTCCGCGTAGACCGGGTGCCGCTGGCAGCCAAGCTGGTGGATCTGCCCTGCATCATCGAGAGCCTGAAAACCATTGATAAGAAAACCTTCTATAAGACAGCGGATATTTGCCAGGTAAGAGCTGTCCTTCGTACCTGCTGTTTGTCACGTGTGAGCCCTCTCCAGGAAAATCCCACTGTGCTTTGACAGTGCTGTTTTCTTAACAGGGATACTTTCTGTGTTCTCACAACATTAGCTGTTTAAAATTCCCCACCTCTGTTGGTGTTTGGGAATCTCCCTTTTCTGAAGCATGAAATTCCACTGTCCTTATAGCAGCTGTGTTTGGGCATGAGCTGAGCTGGCTGGAGAGCATTGTTTCCCTCATCCCCCCACCATGTGTGTCAATCCCTCTGTCTAACTGCATGGAAAGTCGCTGTTTGTTTTCCTGAAAAGCTTCCACGTCCTTTGGCCCTTGTAACAAGCTCTGTGTTTATGGGGGGGTCCCAGATGCTCGTGTGCACYGTGGATGGTGACCTCTACCCCCCTCTGGAAGAGCAAACCGTGAGCACTGACCCCAAGGCCAACAAGAAGAAGGACAAGGACAGAGAGAAGAAGTTCATCTGGAACCACGGCAGTGAGTAGAGGCCTGGCCTGCCCCAGCACCCCACGGCTGGGCAGGGTGCTCCTCAGGTGTGCCAGACCCAGCTCTCCCCTTGCACCATCTGCCTGACACACACAACCTGTTTCCTCTGTCGCAGTTACTCTTCCCCTGAAAAATGTGCGGAAGAGACGGTTCCGGAAAACAGCTAAGAAGAAGGTGGGTTGTTTTCCTCACGCTGATGAGAGGTGCATATTCAATAAAGGGCATAAGGAAGAGGCAGGAAAGTGGAGGCATTAGAGCTCCAGCTGTCCATCAGTCTGGAAGAACGTRGAATTTCTTACCTTTGCTTTACATGTTTCCTTGCCAGAAATGAGGGAGAAGGGAGACTAGTACCTTTGAACAGTTCCTTGTTTTCCAAGATGCCCCTGAGGTGAGAAAATTCCCAGGCAGAGGATGGSTAGACTCCTCTCCTGTGGTGGCCTTGCCACCCTGTGTCCCTTCCTGCTCACAAAGGAGAGAAAGAGTCACGTGCACATGAATCTTCACTCACTGCTGCTTTTTTCCAGCTGAAATCCCAATCACTTCCCCAGCAAGTAACCCTACAAATAGAATAACTGTCATTTGAGCTGGGGGAGTGGGAACAGATGGAGCTTGGAGACGGTTTCCCTGTGCAAATACACAAGCCAGGAAAGGTGTTGGGGAGATGCAGCCCTGGGAAGGCTTCAGTCCTCTTGCTTTGCAGTTTCTTTTTGGGAACACAATGGATTTTGCATGACATTTGGGAAAAAGAAATCACCGCAGACATAGCCCACAAAAAAGATGTGCTGTCAGTAATTAAGATCCCTGGCTAATTTAAATGTGAAAAATGAAACTTCTTTTGGTGGAAAAGGGAAGGACTTGAGCTGGCAACTCTCCATCAGTGAGTTGCACCTTGAGCACTTCCAGTGTCCACAGAGTGTCTGATCTCACAAGCCGTGTTGACGGCTGCCAGAGTGAAAGGAARGTGAGAATATGCGGCCCACCCTGGAGCTCTGTACAGAAAAAGGTGGAGCTGTTTCTAGAGATGCAAAAATAACTTCTTGGGTGGAGCGTGAGTGAAGGCCAAGCAAGAAGAGAGGCTCAAAATAAGGYTTTGTCCAGCAGCAGATACTGGGAGCCAAGCAGCATTCAGCAACAAGGTGTTTAACAGTCTCTGTTGTCTTTCTCTGCTCCAGTACATTGAGTCTCCTGATGTGGAAAAAGAGGTGAAGCGTCTGCTGAGCACCGACGCTGAAGCCGTCAGTGTCCGTATCCTTTCAGGAGGAAAAAAAACTGCTCAGGGAGGGGTCAGTAGGTGTGATCTGGAGCTGTGGAAAGGAGGGACAAGTTTGGCTTTGCCATGTGGGTGTGAGAGATGGGGAGAGGAGCTCGCAGGCAGCACAGAGGGTCGAACTGTGCCTGTTTCCCCACAGTGACCTTCCCTGGGGACCATGCACATGCGCTGATCTGAACTTAAGTAACAGCAGAGGACAGGCCTTAAAGAACAAACACCAGGGTGACTCTGCGTGGGTCTCCATAGCTGCAAGGTCGGAGGGGACAGTGATCTGCAGACTGTAGCTTTCCCTCGTGCTACATTTCCCCTGGTTGTCTTTTTCCCTTGACTCTTTCTGTTCCTGCTGCCAGGCTGGGAAGTCATTGCTGAAGATGAAACTAAAGAAGTGGACAACCACGGCTCCCTCACCAGCCTGGACATCTCCTCCCCGGGGATGTCTGGGCACAAACAGGGCCACGGCTCCTCAGGTAGTGCGAAGATTATTGATTTATTCCTAGCCATAAATGAATCCGCTGACCCCATTTTCCCTGGGGTAAGGATGGTGGAAACACAAGTGAGATGAGCATGGGTCATGGTTGAAGTTGAGTGTGTGCCAAGCCCATAGTTGCTGGAACAGGTCCCCATTTGCCATAGCAGTAGGTRAGGGGTGCTGGGCCACCACCAGCTGTGGGTTTTTCTTCTCTCTTCTCCCTTTTCTCCTTTCCCTAGAACACGACGAACTGCGGGAGATATTTAATGACATCAGCAGCAGCAGCGAAGATGAGGATGAGAGGGATCATCATGATGATGAGGACCTGAACATCATGGACACGGAGGAGGACTTGGAGAGGCAGTTGCAGGACAARCTGAATGAGTCGGATGGGCAGCAGCAGGAGAACGAGGGCTCCAACCAGATAGGTGAGCGGAGTGCAGCGGGTCCGGGCGTCGGGCAGGCTGCGCTGCCCAGCTCTGCTGTCGCTGCGGGGCTGAGCTCCTCTCTCTTCTAGTCATGGGGATCCAGAAACAGATCGACAACCTCAAGAGTAAACTCCAGGAGACCCAGGACAGGAGGAAGCGCCAGGAGGATCTCATCATGAAAGTGGAGAACCTGGCCCTCAAGGTGAGAGCTCTCCCAGGGCCTCTTCTTCTAGTCTTGTGTTCTGCTCAGTAGCAGCCACAGGCCACACGCTCCAACTTCCCCCTGGAGGCTGGGTGAGCCGAGAAGCCCTGCAGAGCGTGGGGTGGCACGTGGGGTGGCACGTGGGGTGGCACGGGTCGGGCCTCGCTGCTCTGCTGCGCGCTCTGTGCCAGCAGCCGTTCCGCTGGGAGCGCCGCTGACTGCGCCCTGCTGCGTTTGCCTCTGCAGACCCGTCTGCAGGCCGTGCTGGATGAGTTCAAGCAGCAGGAAGAGCGAGAGAAGCAGCAGGTGAGAAAACTYCCACAACAGAGCAGGAAGTTCTGGGGAAGGAGGTTCAGTCAAAAGTCACGGTTCTAGATTGGGCTTTGATGCAGTTTCCTAAATTTTGTACCACGTCACCTGCTTTTGAGCTCTGGTGCTACAAGCCAGGCTCATCCATACCTCATCCACAGCTGTGTGTGTGAGCACACCTAGCTCTAAACGCAGGAGTGCTGGGACTGCTCCTGGGCTAAAGCTTGATACCAAACCCCGTGGGGAGGAGGCAGTTTGGTGCCARCCTGGTTCTCCAGAGCAGCCCCTGCTGCCCCAGCTCCGCTCCCTGCGCTGCCGGGCAGGACGGGCTCTCGTGGAGGTGGAGAGGCCCCATGAGCGCGGAGGGCCCTGCCTTGCTCTGACACCTTTCTCCCTCTTCCCAGATGACCTCTCTGCAGGAGCAGCTGGAATCTCTCATGGAGAAGTGAGGAACAGCCCTGGCCAGAACAGCAGGTCTTTGTGCCTCTGAGCAGAGCTGGGGCCACGCTGGAAGTGTCCTTCGTCCCCTGCCTCTGCTCTGGTCCTACCCCTGTGCTGCCAGGCCTGCTCCTGGGCACTGCCAGGAGCTCGGTGGCCGGAGCTGCTCGTGTGCCTGCRGCTGCATTCAGCTGCTGGGGCGGGAAGAGAGAACGAGACCCATCCTGAGAGCAGCAGAAAGATGGGGACTTGCTGTAAATATAGGGGACCCTTTTCCCAAGGGTGTGGAGCTCCTGCTGGGCCCCTGGGCTGCAGCTTTCTGCATCTCTGCGACCATCAGACTTGGGCACTGGCCTGCTGGGAGCCTATTCCTGCGCTCGGGGCAGGTTTGTGTCTGCAAAGTGGACTCAATAAAGCACCGTTTACTGCCCCATTCTGTTCCTTCATGTTACATGGGGGCGATGCCCCTGCTCAGCTTGTGCCTGACCCGCCAAGCCCCAGGCTCCTGGCACCCCCGTGCTGGGCTCCTGCCAGGGAAAGGCTGCTCCCGTGGTGGCATCAAAGGGCAGCTGCCTGCGAAGGGGACCCACCCGCCCTRTCTGTTGAAGAAACCAGCTCCTGATTAGGGAGTTTCTTTAATTCCTCACCGCCTAGGCAGGCAAATCCCAGATTAACCTGGCAGGGTGGGAGGAGGATTAGAGAAGCGGTTCCAGGCGGCAGCAGGCGACAGAGGGTCTGGGGCTTCAGCGAGGGGCTGCCCCAGGGTTCCCCCTCATCTCCCACCCGGAGAGGAGGAGGAGGAGAAGCTGCTGCGGGTTTCCAGAGGTGAGGTGGCACAGAGGGCACAGAGTCAAGGGAAGGAGATGCCCTGAGGCAGAGGCTCCGCTGGGACAGGCCCCGTGCCCTGCGGTGGCAGAGCTGGTCATGGAGGAAACCTACCTGCTGAACGTGGAGGGCGTCAGGAAGAAGATTTTGCACGGAGGCCAAGGGGAGCTGCCCAAGTTCCAGGATGGGAGCAAGGTAGACGCTGCTAGCCCCAAAGGCTGGAGGGGAGGGTGGGAGGTCGGAGCCTGCATCCCTGCCCGTGAGCCCAGGGTTGGGTCCCCAGTGTCCGTGTCCTGCTCACGGACTGCTGTGAGCGGGGCACGTGGCACAGGGGACACCTGGGGCAGTGYCCGTCGCTCTCTCCGGGGCAGATCACCTTCCACTTCCAGACGCTGAAGGACGACTTTGAGCGCACGGTGATCGACGACAGCCGGGAGGCCGGCATGCCCATGGAGATCATCGTGGGCAAGATGTTCAAGCTGGAGATCTGGGAGACGCTGCTCAGCTCCATGCGGGCCGGGGAGGTGGCCGAGTTCTGGTGCGACGCCATCGTGAGTGGGGCCGGGGCGGGCGGCGGGACCGGGACCAGGAGCGGGACCAGGACCGGGRCCGAGCGCAGCCTCCTCCCCGCAGCACACGGGCATGTACGCGCTGGTGTCCAGGGGCATGCGGCGCATCGTGGAGGGCCGCGACCCGCTCGAGGGGCAGAAGCACCGCTGCGGCATGGGCAACATGTTCGACTACCACAGCACGGGCTACGCCGACCTGGACGAGCTGCAGCGCGCGCCGCAGCCCCTCATCTTCATCATGGAGCTGTTCCGGGTGAGGCGCGGGGCACGGCGCGCGCCGGGCTGGCCGGAGCGCCCCGCTGAGCCCCGCGGCCCCGGGTGCAGGTGGAGGAGCCCTGGGCCTACAAGCGGGACACGTGGGCCATGAGCAAGGAGGAGAAGCTGGCGGCCGTGCCCGTGCTGCACAGCGAGGGCAACCGCCTGGTCCTCCGCAAGGAGTTCCGCCAGGCGGCCGAGAAGTACCAGGAGGCCGTCATCTGCCTGAGGAACCTGCAGGCCAAGGTGAGCGGCGCCCGCGCGTGGCCGCCAACCCGCCTGGGCACGCCACGGGTGTCCCCTGGCTTCCACATCTCGGCACCCTGGGGTCCTGCTCACCCGCCCCGGGGGCGGCTGCGTCCCCCTCACCGGCATGTGGGCGCAGGAGAAGCCGTGGGAAGAGGCCTGGCTGAAGCTGGAGGGGCTGGTCACGCCGCTGGTGCTCAACTACTGCCAGTGCCAGCTGGAGCTGGGCGAGTACTACGAGGTGCTGGAGCACACCACGGAGCTGCTGCAGAAGCACCACGGTACCGCGTCCACATCCCCAGCCCGCCACGCTGCTCCCCCCATGGGTGCTCTGGTTCCTTCTGCCCATGGTGAAGCTGGTGGCCCCGTCCCCATGAGGAGGGTGGTGTCCCCATTGTCCTGCCCAGGATGGTGCCTGTGGCCCCATTGCCCTGCGCATGGTGAAGCTGGTGGCCCTGTCCCCATGAGGAGGGTGGTGTCCCCGTTGTCCTGCCCAGGATGGTGCCTGTGGCCCCATTGTCCTGCCCAGTATGGTGCTGGTGGTCCCTTCCCCATGATGCTGCTGCTGTCCCCATTGCCCTGCTCACGATGGCACCTTTATCTCCCTTCCCACGTGAAGGTTCCCCCTTTCCATTCCCCTTGCCCTTGCCATGCTGATGTCCCCATCCTTCTCATGATGGTCCCGGTGGCCACCACCCGCAATGGTGTCAGTGTCCCAGGGCCCCCTGCCAAGGATGGTGTCCCTGCCCATGATGGTGCCCATACTGGGTACCCCCGCCGTGGCACCCCAGCGCGCGCTCCGCTCGCGCCGCAGGCAACGCCAAGGCCCATTTCAAGCGGGCGAAGGCGCACGCGGCCGTGTGGAACGAGCGGGAGGCGCGCGAGGACTTCGCGCGCGCCGCACACCTCGACCCCGCCATGGCGGCCGCCGTCAAGAAGGAGCTGAAGCTGCTGGGCGAGCGTGTGCGCAAGAAGCACGTGGAGGAGCGCAAGCGCTACCGCGGGCTCTTCAGCGCCCCCGGSGACGTGGAGGCCCGCGGAGCTGAGCCCGGGAGCCCCGGGAGGGCGGAGGCAGCTCCGGGAGGCCAAAGGGAGGCAGCGGGGAGGGACGGGTTGGAGAAAGGGATCGATGGAGGTGACCGTGGGGTGGGCATGGGGATGGAGCGGGAGGAGAGTGCGGCTGCAGGGCTGGGAAAAGGACAGGGGGAGCGAGGAGGGCGGGAGGCAGCTGGGATGGGAGGAGCGGCGGAGGCTGCAGCGCTCCGAGAGGCACCGGAGGAGGCTGGGCTGGGAGGGAGGCTGGAGGCAGCCGGGTTTGGAGGGGCTCAGGAGGAGGCTGAGCTCGGAGGGACCTTGGAGGAGCCTGGGCCTAAAGAGGCTCAGCAGGAGGCTGAGCTCAGAGGGGCTCTGGAGGAAGCTGGGCCTGGAGAAGCTCAGGAGGAGGTTGGACCTAGGGAGGCTCATGAGGAGACTGGGCCTGGAGAGGCTGAAGAGGTGGCTGGGCCTAGAGAGGTTGAGGAGGAGGCCAGGCCTAGAGAGGCTCATGAGGAGGCTGGAGTCCAAGGGGCTCCAGAGGAGGCTGGACCTGGAAAGGCTGAGGAGGATCTTGGAGAGGCTCAGGAGGAGGAAGGGCTCAGGGGAACTCCAGCGGAGGCTGGGCAGAGGGAGGCTCCAGCGGAGGCCGGGCTCAGAGAGGCTCCAGCGGATGCTGGGCTCGGGGACTTGCTGAAAGAGCAAGAGCTCAGGGAAGCTCCAGCAGAGGCTGGGCTCAGCGAGGCTCAGGAGGCTGCTGGGCTCAGCGAGGCTCAGGAGGAGGCTGGGCTCGGGCTCAGAGAAGCAGCAGGGGAGGCCGGGCTCTGGGGAGCGCCCGGGGGGCCTGGGCTGGGAGCAGCGTCAGCAGAGGCCGAGGTGGGAGCGGCAGCAGCGTGGGGAGCCCCCAAAGCCGCGTGGGGAGCCCCCAAAGCCCCGCAGGGCCCCACGGCGGCAGCGCCGGGCCCAGCCCCGCGGCCGGGCTCCCCCCACGCCGATGGGGGCTGCCCCAAGAGCCCCCCCGAGCTGGAGCCGGGGGCAGAGCCCGGCCCTGGGGGGCTGGACGCGGGGAGCGTCGCTGGAGGAGGTGGCCAAGGTGCCACCCCCCTGGAGCCGCCGGCTGYTGCCATCGGGATGCTCCGAGCTGGGGCGGCGGAAGAGCCCTGTCCTGAAGCAGCCGGGGAAGGGGCCAGGGAAGAAGAGGCCCCCCCGGGCAGCGCAGGGGGCTCGGGGCCAGCACAGGGCAGGAGCCCGGCCGCAGCGCCCCGCGGAGCTTCGCTAGCTGGGAAATAAAAGCTCTTTGGTGGCAGCGAACGCTGGCTCCGTCCCTGCGTGCGACTGTCCCTGGATGCGATTCTGTCCCTGGCTGCACGTGGAGCTCCAGCCTGGTCCTGCTCCCCGGATCCCCAGCTTTGTCCCACATCCAGAGCCGCGGGAGCAGAGGCTGCAGCGGGACCAAGAGGGCCCAGGGAGGCCGGGGAACGCGCAGAGCCCCTTGCTGGAAGGGGAGGCCGGGGCCTCGCCGGGGCAGGAGCCGGCAGCAGCGCTGGAGCCCGGGGCTCAGCTCGGGCTGTGCCCTGGGGTTGAGGCCAGGGCGGGCGGCGCACACAGAGCAGCCCGAGGCACCCACGCAGCTCTCGGTAGAAATACAAATTTATTCTCTTTCCAGAGTAGAGATGGAGAGAAGCGGCGAGGAGAGCGGCACCGCAGCCCGCGGCTCCCGCACACCCCAATGCTCCTTCCCCAGCGCCCACCGGCCCCCGCACCAGCACCTCCGTCCCCACCAGCCCTGCGGGTGCTGGCGGGTGCCTCTCGCCCCCAAAGCACCTGACTCTGCAGCTTTCTCGACATAACGCAGCCCTACGCAGCAGCCTGGGGGGCCGGGAGCCACCAAGCTCCGGCCCCTCTGCTCCGCTCCTGTGTCCAGCCCAACATCGCCGCAGCTCCGGGGGAGCAGGGCACATAAAGCCAGGATAAGAGGGGATCCGTGGAGGAAGGAGCATCGAGAACAGGCTCTCTGTGCACTGCTCCCCCCAAAAATCCAGGGGGGACTGGGGCCCCCTCCGGCCTCCCTGCTCCGAGGCGGCACGGGGAGCAGGAGCGCGTGTTGGGCTGGACTGCAACAGTCACGCACGAGTGCCGCTYCACACCGTGTTAGAATTTAATGGAGTGAGTCCATGAGAGTATTTAAGTACAGAATATATATATAATATAGAAATATATGCAAATTAAATGGTAAGGCTCCGTTATAAAGCTCCTCTCCAGATAAGGCTACTAGCTGGGCTGAAGCTCGGACACGGACTCCTCCCAACCCCGTATCCCTCGGACCCTCTCCCCGCCACACAGTGCGAGCGGCCCTGGGCGCTCTGTCCATAAAGCCGGTAGCTGSATGGTGTTAAAAAAAGAGTTTAAAGCCCAGGGGGCTTTTGCAGGAGTGTTTTAGTGCCCACAAACGTGGGCGGCACCAGGTAGAACCCAAACTGAGGAGGGTGCTGAGATCCGTGTCCCCCATGAGAGCGGAGCAGGACGGGGGCTCCACGGCTTCGACCTCCTTGGCAGCCCAGGGSAGTCCGAGCCTGGGTGCTGTCCAAGCCTATGGCAGAGCGCAGGGGAGCCCGCAGGTCCCTGACGTTGCCCTGAGATCTCCTGGCGCTGGCGGGGCTGGCGTGGGGCCGGCCCAGGACCATGGCATGGCGTTAGGAGGGAAGGAGGCAGGGAAGGAGGGCGGGAAGCAGCCAGGCAGCTGGTTAGGGAAAGCCTCTGGCTGGCCGGAGGTGTTAGATAAGGGAGGTCATACCTGGAAGAGAAAGGGAGAGGTCGGGAGGAGGACACGCGGGGCCGCATGGTTAGAACACATTAAGGGATGYGGGTGAGGATGGATGCACGGGCAGGGAAGCTTTGGCACTGCCATGGTGCACGGTCTCCCTCGTGCAAGCGCAGGCCACGGGGCCGGGAGAGGCGGGCAGGGAGCTCTGCCTGCAGGTGGGAAAAGCAAACCCATGGGAGCATCCCCAGGAACGCTCCTGCTGGGAAGAGCCATCCGTGAGCAGCGCGGGGAGCTTGCGCCAAGCTGCAGCTCGACCAGGGATCTGCCGCCTTCATCTTCCCTGCAGGAGCAGGGTCCGGGCAGGATGATTATCCAGTCTCAGTAGCTCTTGGCTTCTCCCAGTGGGAGAAGCTCTTGTCCTCTCYGCACCCGGACACCGGAGCTCGGGGTGCAGGGAGGCAGGAATTGGGGCCGGGCTCCACGGAGGTGACACCCTCACCGGAGGGAGCAGTAGGAGGCCAGCGAGGGGGACTTCACTCGAGTACCTCGGGAGTTGGGGAAGGCGCTGCGCAGCTTCTCCATGATATCCTCCAGGCACACGCTGACGTCCTGGGCCTTGGCCTCCACCTCGTCTGCGCAGGGAGAGAGGCAGAGCTGCGGGAGCGGCTCTCCGGGCACATGGAGCAGTGCTGGAGGTCAGGGGCAGCTCCCCTTGGAGCAGTGGGAATAAGGGAGCAGGGCGGAGAGCTGGCTCCAGGCCTCACCTGCAGCCTCCGTGTCSGGGGTGTCGTGCTCCCGCTCCTTCGCCTGGCTGCCCTCGGACTGCTGCGGGGACGAGGCCAAGGAGGAAGGTGCCGAGCCGTTGCCATCGGACTCCGCTGGGGGCTGCAAGGAGAAGGGGCTTGGCACAGCCTTCTTGCCCTGGACCACCCGTTTCTGCCACGCAAAGCGCTCCCCGGGGCTGCGCCGCGCTCGCCCTGCGGCACCTGCAGCAGCAGCTCTCGCAGCCGCTGCAGCTGCGACTCCAGCTGCTTGTTGTGGTCCTCCAGGATCTGCATGCGGGTCTCCAGGCGGCTCTTGTGCTGCCGGAGGATCCGCGCTTCCGCCAGGAGCTCCTCGTTGCGCGGGTCCGGCAGCAGCTCCGGGGAGCCCGCGGCCAAGCTCGGGCACTCCACAGCCTCATCGTGCTGCCACTTGAGCCGCCGCAGCTCTCCCTGCAGGATCCTGCGAGACCAGCGCTCAGGTCGGTGCCACCAGCCCGGAACCGCCCCACGGCTGCCTCCTGGGAATGCCCAGGGACTCTGAGGGCTTTACCTTGGAGTGTGGGAGAACCTACACCCTCCTGGGCTCTTGTCCTGCACTGTAGGGTGGTCTGCATCTGTGTCCCCTTTGGGTATGCAAATGACATGCAAACTACCCACTAATGGACTAGAAAGGACAAGGAGAGCAGGAGCCTCCTCCTGCCTCACCCCACACAGTCCACAGCAGCACTGCCACTGCGGAGGAGGGAGCCTGGGGGTTCAGGAGGGAAACCTTGGGTTCAGTTCAGCCAGCTTTGGGCTTAAGAGGAGAGCACGTTCTGGGAAGAGGACTGAAACCTTTTGGGGAATCAGAGCCTACTCCCTTCCTCGGAGAACTCCTTGAGCCTTGGAACTCACACAGGTTTATTAGGGTTCAGCCTAGATATCCTCCAAGCCGATCCCACTTAGCTCTTCCCATCCGTGCCTTGGAGCTCTGCCCTGTGGGCTAAGCCCAGGTTTCTCCAGCTCCTCCCCCTTAGACCCAACGCCCCACCTGGAGAGTTGTCCACATTCCTACCTGTTCTCGTCCTCTAAGTGGGCCAGGATCCGCTCCAGCTCGCCCTTGTCCTCCGTGTTGAGGCTGCGCGGGGCCTGCTGCCCGCTCGCCGGCTCCCTGTCGGTGATGGGGCTGGAGTGGCGCAGCAGGAACTGCTCCTCGTCCCTGGCACGGCAGCAGAGCAGCATTAGCACCGKCGCTCCCAGCCCGCGGGCACGGGTACCCGGCGGGAGGAGGGGTTTTACAGCAATTCCTTCTGGCTGCCCCATAGAGAGCTCCAGGGGTGCTGGGGGTGCCCATGAGGGTCACCCCAAAGTGAGGGACAGGGGAGYGTGGCTGTGTCCTGGCTGGGAGGACAGAGCCACGAGGGCAGTGCGGAGCGGGGAAGGGGGCAGGACTCACAGGCTGTCGTCGGGGGACAGGCTGTCGTTGAAGAAGGAGCAGTTCTGGCTCTCCATCTCCGCAAGCCTGCAGGAAGCACAGGCGGGGTAAGACACGTTCAGAGACACCCCGGGTGTCTGCTCAACACCTCGGCCRCGGCAGTCTCCGCCAGGGCCATCCCTGGGACCTCTCCCTGCTGCCCCACTACTCTGTCCATCCTTATTGAGTGTTGCCTTCATAGAAAGCCAAAAATACTGCTAGTCCCAAGCAAGTGTAAGGAAAAGAGGGCGGACATGCAGTGGTTTTTCCATCTCCGTAGCTGGGATACTGCCCTTTTCCCAAGCTGCTGGAGCCAGCGGTGCTAGGGGAAGCTTGGCAGGGGCTGCACGCAGTGCGGGGGTCTCTGTGCAGCCTCCCAGCACCCTTGGAGCCACRTCCCCAGCCCGGCCATGGTACCTGCTTGCAAAGTGCTCAATCCGGGAGTGCGTGTCAGCGTGTGGCAGCATCGGGGAGGAGGCTGGTCTGGAAGAGACGCACACGAGTGAGCGACACTTGGCAGCCCTCACTTAAAGCCAGTGGTTGGAGGGGCTGCCCTGGACCCATCTCTGGAGCAGGAGCCTGGAGCATCCTCCAAGATGAGGATGCTGCATCAGCCCCCAGGTCAAGCCACCCTCTCCAGCCCCACGGAGCCCTGTTTGCCTCCGGGACACTGTGTCCTCCCGTGGAGGCCACGTCAGGCACGGGGCCCAGCCAGCACTCACGTCTCTGAGAAGTCGGCCTCCAGCACGGACTGCACAGGCAGGTAGCCCCTCTGCGGGTGCTTGCTGAAGTACTGCTTGGATCGAAACTTGTTCTTCAGCGTCGTGGCAAAGTCCCTCATGTTCTCACTGGACGTGGTCTGCAGGGAGGCACACATACCGGGGCCATGGTTGATAAAAAGCAAGGGATCACGAGCCAGGATCCCCTGGAAAGAGGTTCCCTGAGCCGGTTGCAAGCTGAGCAGAGGAAGAGGTGSTTCCTCCAGGCAGAGCAAGCAGGCAAGGGGAACACATGGCACGACCGAGTGCTTGAGGGTCACCACGAGCCCTTAAGTGATTTCCAGCACTCAGACAGGAGCACAAAGCACAAGGGAGCCTCTCCTATGGCTGCCCCAGCCTCAGCTCTGCAAGGCTGGAGGTGTCCGATGGGACCTGCCTAGAGCCAAGGCCGTCCTGGGCCCGGTTCCTCACCGGCGTGTAGTACTCCATGATGGGGTAGTGCAGCTTGTTGCCCTTGCTGGCTCGTCCCGTGAGGAAGCAGGTCTGGCAGATATCCACGTTGAACTGCTTCAGGCTCCGATACCTGGGGAGATGCAGAGGCCATTGGTAGGCGACAGGAGTCAGCAAAGATGTCACTGCAGAGCCCCGGGACAGCTCAGGACAGGGAAAAGAGGTGGCCTGTGGGGGATATCATGTCCCATTGAGCCCACAGAGCTGACTACTGAAGACGCCAGAGGAACATTAGGCTCCTTCCCTTCTTGCAGCGCCAGGAGAGCTGCTCTGACCGGCTRAAACGCTGCTGCAGAGCTCCAGGTTCCCCCAGCTCCATGGTGCAACCCCTGTTCCCTTCCAGGCTGTGACGAGGACCCATCCCTGCACCCATCCCATCTCCTGCAGCTCCCCACAGCCTCCGTGGGGACAGGAGAGTGGCACCCCYGCCGGCCCCATAGCACGTGCCCTACCTGAAGCCCTTGATGGGGCACTGCCGGCACACGGAGCACTTGGTCTGGTGCTTCACCTGCTCGGCCATGGTGACGCGGTGCAGCACGGCCAGCCACACCATGGACTGCGGCTCCAGGTTGGCCCATTCCAGGAACTGGGACGCCTCGATGGCGCCCTTGCCGTTGCTCTGGGGAGGCGAGAGAACCACTCGGAACCGGGACCAGGCGCTGCCGGCTGCTCAGAACCGGGTCCGAGCGCGGCCCCGTTACTCACGAAGCGGAAGCAGCTGCGGATACTGGGCTCCACGTTGCTGCCGCCGAACGCCGCCACCTCTCCCAGCTGGCGGGGCACCTGGATGGCCTCGTGGAGCAGGACGCCCAGGTGCCGCTGGTCACACAGGCCCCCGGGGTTGGCCACTTGGCTGAAGAGATCTGCCGGACAGACGGACGCAGGGACATCGCGCCAGAGATCCTACCAGTGGATGTGGGAGAGCTCGGCATGCGTGGGACTGGGCACAGCTGCCCGGCTCCATCAGGAGCTGGCATTCAATGACCTTTTCCAGTGCCCTTCCAGCTCCCAACCATCCAGAAGAAGGGGGTGTGCTTGAGACAGAGGTTACATTTACATCACTTCTCTAATAATCTTGGCTGGCCTGTCCTCCAAATCAGCCCCAGCCYTTTATTACACCCCTCGGCACTTCAGGCCTCCACAGGATTCCACGGCAGTGAATCCCACGGGTAAACACGGGGAATAAAGGCGCTTCCTTTAATTTGTCTGAAACCTGCTGCCCAGCTACGTGTGCCCAGGATTCTCCTTATGAGCAGCACGGCCTAACTGGTGTCTGTTCTCTGGGATGTTCACTGCAGTGCCGTGCAAGCGAGATCACTGCAGCACCAGCCAATGTGCAAAAAACACCTTCTAAATCAGGCAGCGTGGGCTCGGCAAGGAGGGAGGGCGGCAATGCAAGCGGATTAGTCACCGCAGCAAAGCTGCTCCTCTGCTCCTTCTGGGCAGAGAAGGATCCAGCCAGAAAACCTCCCTCCTGCTCTTGTTAAATTACTCCCAGGAGCACTGGGTCCAAAGGAAGGAGACCGGGGGGACTCACACTGAAACTTCTCCTTGACCTCCGTCCCGCACAGACATGCGATGCCGGTCTTGAAGGAGAGGGCCCTCATCTTCCCACTGCGACCACTGCAAGGTGAGACACAGCAGGGGTTTGCAAGTGGGTTTTGGTGATGAGAGACGAGCAAGGCAAGGCCATGGCAGCCAGCCCTGCCACCAGCAGCCAGGGCGTCTTTGCAGCACCATGAGCTGGCMTTGCAGCACCAAGGACTCGCTCCAAGCAGGGCAGCTCCATAGACCATGTCCAAGGAGGTGGGAAGGGCTGGGGGACGGTTACCTGTCGAAGACGTTGAGCAGCCAGTTGAGGCTCATGTCCACGCAGAGCGGCACGTTGACGAGGATGCCCCGTTCCTCCTCGAGCCGCTCGTAGAGGGCGGTGAGGCAGTGGATGACTTCGACCACGTCCATCGCCCGCTCGCTGGGCTGCAGGTCGTGCTCGTTGAAGACTTCCAGGGCGGTGCTCAGGGTCACCATGTCCACTGCGAGGGATTGGAGAGGAAGAGGAGAAAACGTGAGATGAAGAGGTGAGAAGTGAGGGGAGGGATTTGCAGCCCTGACCTGATCCGGGGCAGCCCCAGCCTCGTTGCAAGTGGGAAGCAAACACCACTGCTCCCAGAATTGGTTCCCAACTTGTGAACTCCACCTGAAAATACCCATGTCAGCRCGTGGATTTGACTCAAAGCCACCTTTCTCTGCAACTGTCCTTCCTGTCACCGTGGCCAAAGTTACAGAAATACCGTCCACAAAAGGCTCCTCCTGCAGCACGTCTGGGGCTGTGCAGAGCCACGGATGCCTGTGCTTGGCCCTTGTGGGAGCAGGGACCCCAAATTCACCCACTAGCAAGCATCATTCCCACTCATCCTCACACCCTGCTGCCCACRGCCTCACACTCTGGCTCCACAGGCTCCCCATCACCTCTTTTCCATGCTCCCATCAGAGGCAAACCTCCAGTGTGCGACAGGCTGGCCACAAAACCCAGCCTTGCTGAGTACCGACCCTCCCTCTTGCTTCCTCACCACCTTCCTGGCTCCTCACCACACCAGCCCTCTTCAAGCAAAGCTGCTTTCCACTCCCGGTTACATCCAGTGCTTCTTTAGGCTCCCTTAGAGCTCCTGGGAAAGCCTGTGTCTGTGACCCCCAAAAWATGTTACTCTGCATTTCACCACTTTATTCTCAAATCCCTTCTGCTAACACCTGTTCTTGAGACRTTTGCAGCCTTCTCCTGCAAAGGAAAGCTCTGACACAGAAACCCCGCCAGGGAATGTGCTTAGCTTCCCAGCTCTCATCCAACCGGAGCTTCCCAGCTCTCATCAAGCTGGAGCTTCTCTCCTTGGCCACCTGCTCCCCGGCAGCCTCCCGCCTCCGCCGCGCTGCTCGGAGGCTGCGTGAGCTGAACACCTCTCTCAAGGGAGGCCCGGCGGCGGGGAGAGGCCTCCCGCACTCACATCGCAAGGCTTTCTGCACCCGCCGCAGCTTCATGGCCGTCCGATACGCCGAGAACTTGATGTTGTTCAGATCCGCTGCCAAAACACAGGAAAAGAAAAACGAACCGCAGCTCGGCGTCTTTATCTCTAGGGCAGGAAACAGCACTTGCCACTTCCAGGCACGGTCCCCCCAGCAGCACAAGCCCAGGCTGGAGCAGGGGAGGAAAGACACAGTCCAGCAGAGCATTACGACCCATTGCACTGGGATGCATTGGGAGGCTGAGCATGGATTGCCTCCCAATTGCTCAAGAGACCTTGCACAGCACCTCACGCAGAAGTAGAGGTAGMAAAGGCAGATGCTGCTCAAGTGATTTGGTGGCAGCTTCCCTTACCCAGCGTTTGGTAGAGCTCTGTCATCTTCGGGTGGTCCCAGCAAGTTGTCTGGGCCTGGTGGCTGGAGAGAGAGTAGGAACGAATCAAGAGGCAGGCTGGGGATTAAGCGGCTGAGCTGCCTCTGGGGGAGCACTCACTTGATGTAGTAGGGCACTTTATTGGGGGAAATGGCTCGTTCCCAAGGGATTTGAACGGAGGCTGCAAGGAGAGAGATGCAGATGTTAGAATAACCTTCATGTTGAAGCCCTCAGCTCAGATTCTGTGCATTAACTGAAGGATCTCAGGCAGATGAGGACCCATTCCGTAACTGCAYGGCTTGTCTGCAACCTTATCTTCATTATCTAGAGGACGGAAGCACTATTATGACCCTCAGTTATTTTTGCTCATCACAGGCAGCTTATCAGCTCCACCATTTGAAAACTCTGGCCTTCCTTTTAGATGACAGCACTTGATTTGCAAAGAAACCAGGACCCACAACCCCACCAACCTCCAGAAAACCCACAGGGATTGGTATTTCTGAGGCTGCACCCCAGTGTCTGGAGCTGAATCTGCTGCGGGGGCTCCATAGGGATGGCTCCCTCTGCCCCAGGGCAATGCAAATCCCCTGAACATGCACATTCACGGCACCTGAATGACTCACGTGCATGTGGGGAACTGCCTTTTTTGCCATCTGTTGTCTTACCCACACAACCYCCGAGACTGGCGCGGTCCCAGGATCACCCAGGAGCTGCCGCTGCAATTGTCACCTCTCTGCAAGGGGACGTTTATGTCCCCTGTCAACCCTAGAAGGCTTGCAAGGCAGCACAGCACTACCTTTGGGAGATGCCACCTACTCCATCCGTGACTCCATGGGAAGGCACACAGGACACAGGACTTGCCCGGACCCTTTTCTAGTTGTATCTACGGCTTTGGGGGCTGCAGGGCCACAGCCAAGMACAGCTACAGCAAGAGAACCCTACGGCTTCTTCCCTTGTGCCCCAGCCCAGGCTAAACTGTCCTGCAGAGACAGCCCGTCAGCAGGGAGGCTGGACAACCTGCTCACGTACAGGAGAGGAAGTGCTGGGAGCCCGGTCCGAAATCCCGGTGGGCATCTTGGAGCTGCTTCAGGCGTTCGTTTATGGAGGCCTGGAAAAAAAAGGACAAAGGGATTTAATGGGAGCCTGGCAGTCACTGCAGATTCAGGGGGGGAATGTGGACACACTTAGAGGTGCCCAGTCACCCAGGTCCTCTTCCTTCCTTGCCTGTCGTGGTTCCTGCATGCCCCAGCCCATTCAGCCCTSTGCACCTCATTCCAAAGGCTGAAGCCCCCCCATCTCTGGGGCATTGGTGCTGTTTGCTCTCGGTCCCTGCCCACCTGCAGCTGTTTCCATCGCGTGTTGATGTGCTCCAGCGTGCGGGAGTTCTCCATGGACAGGTGGACATCCGAGATGGCGAGCTGGTGTGCAAGGTCGTTGACCACTTTCACCCCGTCCTTCATGGGGGAGAGCTCCTCTTTGAACAGCTGGAGCCCCCACGCCCCGGGGAAGAGGCACAGGGCAGGGGAGAAAGGAAAAGCAACAAGCGGTCAGTGCTCAGGGTCTGATCCCACGGCTGGTCTAATGCAAGACCTGCTGCCCAACCCTCCTGCAGGCCAAGCTAGAAAGAAACAGATAAAAGCAGTAGCCAGGACGGGGATGACTCGCTTCTCCCAAGAATTAGTAGCTGGAGAGAAATATCCCACCTACACTGAGCCACTGGCACAGTGTGAAGGTACAATGTACTCAAACGAGCCAATTCCTTGGATCACTGCAAGTCAAATCCACCCTCACAAGCGGGGGAACCGACCAGTGTATGACCAGCCCTTGGGATCCCAAGTAATGAGGCCAGGTCAGACCAAGCAGCCAGGAGGAAAAGCATCGTCCCAATGGAAAACTGCATCCTAGTGCCCACAGGACCAAAGCCAGAGCATTCCCAGTCCCACATACCTTGGTCGACTGGATGTGCTCCGGCAGGGAGTCAATGAAGAGGTCCCCAATGGGCTCCCAGGTTTCACGCACGCTTTCAGCCTGGTCCAGCGTGGTGCTGAGCTCCTCCATGGCCCCTTTAATCTCCAGGAGCTGCTCGAGCGTGCGCTCGATGTGGCGGTGCTGGTCCACGCAGCGCGCCGTGAGCTTCTCCCACAGCTCGCTGGCCACGTTCGCCTGCTTCCACACGAAGCGGCTGATGTTCTGGATGCGGTGCCGGGGGGACACATCTGCCGGGGCAAAGCAGCAGGAGATGCGAGAGCAAAAGTGACAGCCCAGCCCAGAGGAAGAGATAGGAAGGGACGGCAGGGAAAAGGGAGAGAAAGAATCTAGGGAGAACTAGAAAGAAGGAGCAAAACCAAGCAAGAAGAGCATCTGTGTCTGCACCAGCTTCTCCAGGGCTCTAGCGTGCCCACAGACCTCTGTGTTTGCCAGCAGAAGCTCTGCTCCCCTTTGCAAGCATGCTCCAGAGCACACCTGATATTCCAGAGCATATTCCAGAGCACATCTCTCATGGTGCTTTGCTTTGGGAGGACAAGGAAGGGGAGCTCCACAGACCTTTGCTTTCTGATGTTGGTTCTTCCAGTTCCTCGAATGGATGCTGGGACAGGAAAGCCTGTGCTGACTCCAGGACGGAGTAAATGTACGGCCCCCGAGACTTCACCTCTTCCATRAAAGCCTGGAGAGGAGAAGCAGAGCCCAGGAATGAGACAACACAGGGCTGAGCCAGAAAATACCCACTTAACGAAGGACTGCAGGGATTACTGACCCTGGTGCCCAAATCAGCCACCAGCACACGCAGGTAAGCAATATCCTAAGGAAACGCTACCAGAAAAAAGCAAGAACCCAAGCCTCACTGGAAGCACAGAGGGGAGTTAATGGAAATATTTCTGCATTTGAGGGAAAGAAGGAGCTGCTGCAAGAAGGGCAGCACGTGCAGAGCTGGGGTTGCACTGGAGGAGCCGGCTGAGCAGCAAGCGCAGAGTGGGGGAGCGCTGCAGCGGGGGCTGCTCCTCATCCACAGGCCTCCCGGATGGCTGCTCCGGCGGCAGCYGGGACACGAGGGCCCTGGGGAACCCACCGCGTGCGTCTCCTTCTCCTGCTGCACCAGGAGGACGTCGCCCCGGAGCGGGAGCTGCGCCGAGAGCTCCTCATCCTTCTGGCCGAGCCAGTCGATGATCTCCTGGAGGGGGACSTGCAGCTTGCCGCTGTGGTCGGAAAAAGCCTCCAGCCGAGCCCTGGAGACACAGGGGGGAAAAGAAAATCCAGAGCTACCCTCAGCCTTAAGCTGGGAGGGGAGGATGGAGCCGCTCCGGGTTTGCTGTGCACCGTGGTCTGCGCTCTGGCGAGCGCGGGGGCTCAGCTCTGGGTTTGGACRGCTCCCAGGAGCCTCATGTTAAGGCAAAGACAATTAACATGCCCCAATTAAGCTCTCCATCACGCTGGCTGTGGAGCTGCCACCTCGGAAGCCTGAGGAAAGGCTGTTTGGATGGAGATGGTTCCCAGTAAAGGGATGAGGGCAGAGGAGGTGGTGGGAACATAAGTGCAGAGATGCGGTAGGGAAGGATGGAGAGAGGCAAGGGCAGAATGAGAGAGGAGAGGGAGAGAAGGAAGGAAGGAGTGGAAATCTATTGGGATATTCTTCAGGTATAGGAGAAAGCTGGAAACTCTGACTTCTGCCGGGAGGGGAAACCAAGGCAAGGTCTCCATGCGCTTGGGTGGAGGGAGCCGGCTCCAAAGCCTCCTGACGAGGGGCTGCAGCAGGGGCTCACTCCAGGCAGGGGCTCTTACCGGAGGCTGTGGGATTTCTTTTTGATCTCATTCCAACAAAGATTCATCTCCGGGGGGGCCTGGGGCCCGGCGGCACTGCCGGCAGCCCGGGCGGTTACGCACGAAGGTCCCGCACCATCCTGGGAGGCTCTAACCTGGGCAGAAACAGAGCCAGGTGAGCGGCTGTGTGCACCGAGACCCTGCGCTGGCCTCCATCCAACCCCTCCRCCTTGTTCTGCTTCCCTTTCCCAGCTCCCGAGGGGACCGTCCTGCTCCGGAGGGACCGTTAGCGACGCCAGTGAAACACGGCCTCGGTCGGGGAGAGGGGTCGTGCCGGGAAAGAGCAAAGCGGCATTTCCAGGGACACGGGGCTTGCTGCTCCGCAGAATCCCTGCCCGGCTATTCCGCAGTGACCCGGCCGACATTTGTCACTGCTGTCCATTAAACCGGAGCGGGTGCTTGGGTGTCACCATCACCGCGGGACTAATGACCCTTTCTTTCAATGCCACTCGAGGGGCTCTGGCGCTTTGGGAAGSGGTGGCACAGCAGGGTCTGTTGTCCCTGGTGCCCAAGGGGACCTGCCAACCTCCTTTATGCCACTTGCAGCACCCTGAGCTGCCACCAGCTTCTCTATGGGASAGGGGGGCCATTTGCCACCTGCAGAGCAGGTCTCTGGGATGCTGCTTCCCTCCAGCACAAGCACTGGTGGGAAGGATGCTCCGAGTGGGGAGGATGGCTGGGAATGATGCTCCRAGAAGCACTGGAGCAGCGGGCAGCAAAACCCAAGGCAGCTGCACCACAGAAGCTGGCACCGCTGCCCAGAGCCAAACCAGCCGCRGTCCCTGTGCCGAGCAGGACTTCCCATGGGGAAGGGATCCTGCCCGGAGCGCAGTGCCGCWCTGCTCGCGAGGACAGCGAGGGCATCCACGCACCCCGGTGACATTCCCACGCACTGGCACGACTGGAATCACTGGCGAGCCAGGGGGATCTCCTCTCTCCAAAAATCATTTGTTGGCCAAAACACAAACGAGCTGTTTTCACTGTGCTATACCGGGGAAACGGCAGCGTTTCTCTCCACTCGGTTATTAGAGCTCATTTATGATAATCAGCCCCAGGTGATTAATCAACCATAATTAACCACATTAGAGCTCTCTAAGCAGTGCATCCAACAGGCTCCCCCTTTGCCAGACAGCATCCTTCTCCGGGGGAAGCGACAGCTCTTCCCRAGGGAACGTGCCCGTCTCCATTGCTCAGCCTGCCAGAGGGCTCCCAGAGTTTCCTGGAGCCAAGGCAGGAGCAAACTGTCGAACAGGAGCTTGACCAGGAGAGAAAGCAGCACCCTCTGCGCTGGCCCTCCGGGAGGGCCAAGTCATCGCTGGGGCTGGGGTTAAGTTTCTTCATTTAAAAGCATCTAACACCAGGCTGTTCTCTGCCTCCCCGTCCTGCCACTCCAGAAGCATCGCAAAAAAACCCCAGAAAACTGTCACCCACGGAGTTCACAGCAATCATAGGACCATGAATGCTAAATCACTCGAGCTCAATCTGCTGCTTGCACATAGGCAATCCATACGGAGCCTGTGCACATCCTCTCGACAGCGGAGCAGGTTACCCCAGAGTGTGGGGATCACCCCAGCCCGCCCGTCTGGGCACAACCACAGCCCAGCGCCACCAAAACACCGTTCTCAGCCTGGCTTAAGAAGAGCTTAGGACCCACAAGGCCCGTGGCTCGATGGCCACAGCCATCGGGTCAATACGTATATGCATCATACCGAGGCTATATGGATATGAGCCAGAGTGACAGCGGCCAAGCGCTGGCCAGCTGCTGCCCTAGAATAAACCCCCTGCAAGCGACAGCAAAGCGGAAAACCAGCAAACCAGGAATACCAGATTCCCTATAAGCATCCCTGGAGCATCCCTCCCGATGCCGCAGCAGGAGCATCCTCATCCCCCGAGCCGGGAGCTTCCTCCTGCAGCCCGTAGTGCCCGGGCGGGCTCCCGCGGTGCCCCTACCTGCGCTGAGCCCCGTGGGCGCCGCGGGGCCGCCCCGCTCGGCCGCGGGAGCCGGCATCGCCCCGTGTCCCGCGGCGGCGCCCGCCCGGCCGGGACGAGCGCGAGCGCCGTGTGCGGGACGCCGCGCCGCTGACCCCCCAGGAATCTGGAGGGGGGCGGCCGCGCTGCCCGCCTCAATCCCAGCTTTGTCCGGAGGAATTCCAGCKGCCCCCGACCTGCCTTAACCCCAGGGGTGCCGCCAGCTGCCGGGGTGCCGCTACCCCGAGGCTCCTGAGCCTGGAAAACCCTGTGGGAGAAGCTGCCCACGGCAAAGGATCAATTCCAGTCCTGGGGAACCTCTGGCTCTGGGAGGGCACGGCCAAGSGGATGCTGCTCCGGGATGGATGACGGGGAGAGCAGCAGATCCCGTCCGTGCCAGGATGCACATGGGGCAGTTGTGGGGTTTGCCGGGGAAGGGCTTGGTCCCTGCAGGCTCTGATTACCAAGAAGGAACCAACCAGGAGCCCAAAACCTGCCCCCTGAGGACACTYGTGCCCCACACGGATGCCTTGGCCCCACGGTGCCAGCACGGGCATTCCCGGGCACCGCTCCTGCCCGCCTGGGCGCCAAGAGCTTGTTTTTGCCAGCAGGCTCCGGGCGGGCTCCTTGCGTCCCCCACAGCGTTCCCGGCACCCGGCATTGTTCCCATGCTCTCCTCCACCTACAGCYAAGGAATGAAAAGCTCCCTGTATCTCTGTCCCGTTTCCCTGCCTGCACATCTGGCTTGGGTCTCTCAGTCCTGCTGGGCACGGGGCTTGTTTGCTGATCAGAGGAAGGGGCTTCAGCAAGACCATTAAATAAGGGATACCCAACGCAGTTAAATAAGGGATATCCAACGCAGTTAAATAAGGGATATCCAAAGCAGTTAAATATGGGATATCCGCAACCTCCCAGGACAAGGAGGGCAGCAGAGGTGGCTGCTCCCTAGGAGGTGCATTGCCCATTGCACCCACAGCTGTCTCAGACCCAGGAGAAGGCAAGGAGAGCCCCACGGCACCAGCACAGTGCTGCATTCCCCGAGGAGTCTAGACCAGGAAAGGTCAGACTCCTCTGCCCCGTGGGGTTTTAGCCTATGGCATGCACTGGAGGCGAAGCCTGAGCTCTTCCCTGCAACCAAGGCACAGGAGGAAGCCTGAAATCCAGCTCTGCAAGCTGCCCCTCCCGCACTTTCTACCTCTCCTAGTGTGATATAGCTGCAAAGTTTTATTAAATCCAAGGGGAAGGGGTCTAGAACCAGCCCTTCCCGACAAACAGGAGCAGGGGACATCCCGCTCGCGCTGCATCCCGATGCCTGGAAGCTGCCCCGAGCAGGCGG